CCCCCGAGCGGGAAGTTACCCTGAACTTCAGCCAGAGACACGCCTTCTTCCGAAATGCAGCTTAACCCTCGATCGAGCGCCCTGCGCCTCGCTGTCCTGCGCTGCACGGCTGCGGTACCTTTTACTTGTAGTGACTGCCCTGCCGCCTAATCGTGAGGCGGGACCTAGTCCCGGAGCGCGTTCCGGCTGGACACGGCAGGAGAGGATGAGTGGCGGGGGGGCCCGGCCCGGGGGGGGGGGGGGGGGGGCGGGGGGTGGGAGTGGGAACTCGAGCTGGATCTCCCTTCCTACTCTGGGAGGCGTTCTTCGGTATGGGGAAGAGGGGACCGCCAAGGCCTTGCGGACGTTAAACAGGCCACCTCAGACGACAGCTATTGTGAAGGGATTCTTTCAATTATCTTTCTAATTACCCAGGAAGGTAAATAAGAACAGGCTTTCGTAAGTTGTCTTATGTTTTTAAAGTCTAAAGGGCATAGAATTGTCTGCAGCATTTTGAATTCTTTGTAAAGGCTGGACTGCCTAGTAGGCTCTGTACCTGACTGGTGATGACAGTACATCTGTCTTGAATAGAGTCAATCTTTTATTTAGGCTATATCTCCTATATCTGTTTCTCCAGCCACTAATACAGTACTGGGCCAAAGCAGAGGTTTGGTGCTAGTTTGACCAAAGTCTTCAACTGTTTTAAAAAATGACAACAAAAAAACCCCCCAAAACCCTATAAACTTGATAAAAATATTTTAGGCCCAAGTCTGAAAATGTAAAAGCAGTGCTATGTAATTTCAGCTGATTTAAGAGGTACTGTTAGCTCATGCAGGAGGAACAAAGCCACTCCTGTGCTTGGAAAAATGAAATCCTTTTAGCTTTTATTAGCTCCACCAAACTTAATGAGATTATCTGTAATGAGCATTTGGCCCTGGTTTGTGTTGTGTGTTTTGTGGGTTTTTTTGGTTTGTGTTTTGTTTTTTTTTTAACAGCGGTTTCAGAGCTATTTAGTTAGGTCCATGGATGATGCCTGCTCTGATCTTAGGGACCAACAAGGAGTTTGGTGAACTTGCATCTCTGTCAGTCCAGAAGTTCTTTCCTCTTTTTAATGGATGGTGTTCAGCATATCTTCACGGGCTGCACCCAGGGAATAGTCACCATAGGGTGAATATTCTCTGTCACAATGTGAAAAAGCGAACAGTTATTGCTTGTGGGTTCTTGTGAGCAGCGCATTCCCAATATGGGGAATCTGTGTAACTATACCTACACTTTTTTTTTTCCCCCCTCATACAAAAAAGCTGGGTGGGAGAGAATGTGGCTGCAAAATATTGTACTCCAGTTGTGCCTTTCTAGTTCAGCAGCCTACAAAGTACCTTACTCCATGCTTTTTTGCCTCTTTAAAATTGTTTCCTTAAAATTTTAAGGAAATTTAAAAAAAAAATTTAAAAAATTTCTTAAAAAAATTCCTTAAAATTTTAATTCTTCCTTAAAATTTCCTTCAATTGTTTCTGAAGGAACCAGTACTGTATTTAACACTGTGCATCAGGTTTCACTGTCAGTTCTACTAATCTGTTTCCTTCCACATTAGCAATTTCTCTGTCTTTTACGTATAGATCTAGTGTAACTTTTGGTATGGAAGATACTATTTTAAAATCCAACAATACACAACAATAGAGTACAGACTAAGACTGGCTTATAAGGCATTTGTTAATCTCATATTTGGGTTCCTTCAACTTGCTTCTGAGAATGACATTTTATGAAAGATTCACAGCAACTCATCCAGTTATTTTGCATGACTTATAAGAAGAAAAGCCTAGATGTCAAACAGTGAGCCACTCGTTACTAGTTGCTTAAAAATATCCTGTAATGCACTAAACAGTAGGTCACCTATTACGAAAAGTTCAGCCTCAATTTAAAATGCAACTTGCTGTAATTTGTCTTGGGAGTAAGAAAAGCATTTTGATTGGTTTAAGTTGATTTAAATCCTGATTGTAAATTTGCTATTGTGTAACTTCAGTTGTCATACTCCTTTTATAACTGTCTACTTGAAAGTGTAATACCAAACCTTTAGATTAATAAGAAGGGGAAAGCAGATGACCTGGATATCGTAATTCTGCAGTGTTATATATCATGCTATATAATGATTATATGAATTCTAAGTTTCTTTCTGTAATAAAATAAGCTATTGCTTTGGTTTGTGGGCCAGGATTTTGGAACTACTGTGGTAAGGACTCTGAACAGAAAATACTGCTTTTTCAGATGGAGGCAGTATCTGGACTATCCACACACCAGCAGCTATGGTCCCCTTTATTTGTCTATCCTTTCTTTTTCCAGTGGCTAAAATAAGCCTGCTTTTTCTTACAACTTGAGAAGTTTTTCTTGCATCAGATTGTGATCTTAAACACTGATTTGATGACCATATACAACTTGAATACAATTTCCGATCTAGCTCACTAGGGTATACTATAATTAAAATTTGTACTATTTCTCATAGGTTAGAAGTACATTTCTGTATTTTCTTGACCATGTTTTATCTTGTGTAATTATTACTATTATCTTTATTTTATAGAAGCGTTAAAAGAAATAGACGATGTCTATGAAAAATACAAGTCAGAAAATGATCCTGTTCAAAAGAAACGCTTGCAGCAGCATCTTCAGCGTGCATTAATCAACAGCCAAGAACTTGGAGATGAAAAAATTCAAATAGTTACTCAGATGCTAGAACTCGTAGAGAATAGAGCCCGGCAAATGGAAACACACTCTCAGTGTTTTCAAGATCTGTCTGAGAATGAAAAGCCTCTAGAAAAGGCAAAGATGGAGTCCTGCCAGCCAGAGAGATCTTCACGTAGACCTCGTCGCCAGCGAACCAGTGAAAGCCGTGATCTGTGCCATATAGCAAATGGTATTGATGACTGCGATGATCAGCCACCTAAAGAAAAGAGATCTAAATCTTCCAAGAAGAAAAAACGCTCCAAAGCCAAACAAGAGAGAGAGGTTTCACCTGTAGAATTTGCAATTGATCCCAATGAACCAACTTACTGCTTATGCAACCAAGTGTCTTACGGTGAAATGATAGGCTGTGATAATGAACAGTGTCCTATCGAGTGGTTCCACTTTTCATGTGTTGGACTCACCTACAAACCAAAGGGAAAATGGTATTGCCCCAAGTGCAGAGGAGACAATGAGAAAACGATGGACAAATGTACTGACAAATCAAAAAAGGATAGAAGATCGAGGTAGTGAAAGCAGTTCATGTTAAAGAGTTGTTCCTTTTATATTAAAATGTTTAATTTCCAGAGAATGCTGTTTTAGGAAATGCATAAGACTATGCAATAATTTTTAATCTATAATATTAATTGAGTATTAAAAGCTGTTATACCTTCTGTGATCTTTAACTTTCTGCACTGAATAACCAAATAATTGAAACAGGGTGGCTTCAGAACTTCACAGAAGACATTGCAAGCATATGGCGTTTGGTTTCAATTTAAGCCCATTAGTATTTTAAAGAATCTTGTGAATCTTGAAATAATGGTGGTGGGAAAGAGACTGAAGAACTTTACATGTTATGGGAAAGGCATTGAAAGGCCTCACGTAACTGCTAGAATCTTAACAACTGAATTTGTTCTTTATCCCAGGTCTTAGGTTTTCAGTTTCTGTGTTAACATCACACATGTGGAATTAGGGTTTTTGAATTCAGCTGTAACTGTAAAAGTCTTCCGAGCTAAAAGCAGACCTCTTCAGTGAGTTTCATATGACCAGTGCGTTATTTAAAGGAAGAAAATACCACTAGCTTAAGCGCTTTTTTTTTTTGGTCAATATTAAACTCGTCTTTTTGACTTTACACTTGGGGGTCAGTTTTTGGATATGATAGAATTACAGTGTATACACAGTTTTGGATATTCTTAGTAGGTTTTGTTTGGGTTCTGTAAAGCATCCTGATGTGATCTTTATTGTTTAAGATGGTGTCTCTAATGCCAAAATTATTTCCTTTATTTATGTTTTGCCACTGCCTATGTAAGCCTTGAAGTTGTAGAAGGATCCCTTGAGAAGAGGGGATATTCACATCTCCGGGGAAAAAACATTGCAAATGTAATGAAATCTTCATCATAATCAGTCTCTAGGGAGCTGAAACATGGCTGGATTCTCTGGGATGTAAACTTTGCTTTTTCTGTAAAAGGTATTTGTGTATGTCTGTGGCCACACCTGGGTTTAGGTATAGCACCGCAGTTCTTGGACTTGGGCAACTATCTAAAAAGCCTGAAGGGAAAAGCTTTCAATAAACATTTTGATAGATAATAAAAAACAAAACATAAGCATGACTGGCACAGAGCCAGTAGTAGACAAATCCCAGCAGGTTTCTGACAGGCTACATGACACTGTTGTCCTGAAGTATGCCATAGTGTCTAAACACTACTTAGGGGGTAGTTAAAAGTGAACCTCTTCCCCCCCACACCTTAGAGGAGGGGGGAAAAAAGGTGAAAACAGTTGTTCTGCTTCTTTGCAATGGGAGATGCTGATAGAGGAGTGGGGTACCAAAGCTTGCACCTAGCCTTCCTGCTCAACAATGTTCTTCCTTGCGACTGCCTGTGCCCTGGTGGGCTTGGCAAGGCAGACAGAGCAGCTCTGCAGGGCTGGGTGTGGGGGTTATCTCTAGGTGGGCTGCAAGTGCTCAGAAGTCCCCATATGTCTCTGCTCTTTGCTGCTATGGTCTCCCTTGACAGCACAGAGGGAGAAGTGACACAATCTTTGGCCATGCCTGGTTGAAAAGCTGTAAAGCTGTTGTGCTGAGTTAGGAGCAGCCTGGAAGGCAGATGAGCAAAAGCAAGCCATGATGGATGAATGCCATCAAAACACCCTCCTGCATCTCCGCTAGAGGCTGTGATAGCTGGGGCTGGAGGGCTGGATATATGGTGCTTGGCATAAAGAAAGCCTCAGTGCTGTGGGGCCAGATGGTATGAATCAATGTGCAGGACTCTAAATATTATAAACTACGTAAAATACCAAGCTTGTTTCCACAGTTATGATCTGATTCCTTAACAGGATTTAGCATTTGCAAGTAATACTAGTTAACATATGGCAGGGGAGTGTAAAGCCAGTGTTTTGAATTTTTGCTCTAAAATTCTAGGTTTATTAAATGGAGTAGCTCCACTGGGGAGACCTGTACTGCAGTAAGCAAACAGCTCTTGCAGGGAAACTGCTGCAAGGGCTCTGATTATCGGCAGGGGAGGAGAGAAGGTAAACCTTATCCCAAGGCCATCTTGCTTTCATTCCTAGGTCGTTTCAGGCCTAGTGGCTCATCTGAGGTTGCAAAGATGGGCTTCTTGAGGGGGCTGGATCATGGCTACTGATGGAGAATGATCAGGCCAGCTGTTGGAGGCAAGTGTCATAAGTTCTCTTCTGTGCATTTTACTCCTTTTTCTATTTGTTACAGCTTAATAATTCTTAAATTTCCTTCTTGGGAAGACTGGTTGAAAGCCTTGAGCTGGGGATTGTGTCAGCATCTAATGTCTACCTAAAACGGCGATGCTCCCTAGTATTAAAAAGCAGACCACTTAAGCAAACACTGAAGTTGCAGAACAAAGTACAAGTAAAATTATAACTAGTGACGTTACTAATTTATCTTGAAAAGTATTGCCTGAATTTCTACTGGCTCAACCAAGAATATTTTCTTTCAAGGCAGAGGAGAAAGCTGGGAGCCTTATATAATTGTTCATCTGGAATAATTGCTAAAGTAGGAAGTGTATGTCGTGGTGTTACAGAAAGGAAATTTTACATTCTGCAAGTGGTCCAGATCAATATCTCTAATGCAAGGGTGCTTTCTTTTATCCTAATGGCCCTTCTACTAGGGAATATGAATTCTCAAGGTTTTCAGGGAAGATATTGCTGGGGAAATGGCACTTGCTTGCCTAATACATGCAAATTGCTCAAATGTAGAAATAATTCAGTTCATAAGCAAATTAGCAGTGTGCCTCAAATATACATGGGGTGCATCTAAAATTACCTCTTTTAAATACTCTAGCTAATTTGTTGCTAAAACATACATGAGAAAAGATCTGATGTTATCGGGTATTTAGCATTTCACTACCTTTTTTAATCAAACCCAGATTTTGTGGTTTTGCATCTGTTTTCATAGAGGATCAATGGTATTTGCTGAAGATGCACATAACATGCTAATATGAAATCAGAAAGGTAAGTAGACAGCTCTTATGTTGCTTCTTAATGTTGAGTTTCTTTTCTTAAAGGGATGAACTTCGCTAGTGAAGTGAAAATAAAAAAAAATCAACTGTTAAACCAGTTCATCTTCAAGATATGTATTGACTGTCATGAAGTAAGTCTAGCTTCTTGCAAAAAAAAAAATCTGGGTTACAAACACTTTGGAAGTTGATAGAAGTGTATGTAACTACACAGGAAACTGCTTCCTCTGTGAAAATTAATGGTACATCCTAATTCAGAATAGGTTACATTTTGTTTTCTTGAAGCTTATGAAAATATGGTGCACTAAGTTCTTGCTTTTTGCCTTTCAGTTTTGAAGTAAGGCAAGTTCAGCAGCAGCAAACGGTCCCTGTAAATAATTTAAAAGGAATGGTATCGGAGCAAGAGTGTGTCTTGATTATTGTTCCATGGACCAGTTTGATTAATCTTGACAAAATAATTATTTAATCAAACCAAAGTTTAAAGCAAAACAAAAGATAAACGTAATAGAAAGCTTACTGTTTTGAAAGCAAAATGAGCAATTTAATAATATTTGTTTATATTATAAGGCCATCTTGCTATCTCCAGCAGTTACTGCTTTTTTTTTTTTTTTTGGACTCTGTAATTCTGGCAGGTCTGGAATAGTACATAACATTAGTACAGGTTTCCTCCAGTTGCTCTTTATTTATTTATTCTGTTGTGTAAAGCTGTCTGAGCCCAAAGATAGTTAATTACCAGCCATGATATGTACAAATTCTTTAAGTGTAGTCTTCTGCATGCCATTGTACATTCATGCCTATTGATTGCTAAAAAGCACAATGATAATACCTTGGTATTTTCACCAGTTGTAACTGTATTTCCCTGCCAAGTATTAACTAATCTACACATACAGAAATGGTAAGGTGGTACTGACAAGTCTTGAAGCTGGTACAGAAGGGTGGTAAGTGAAATGCCCCATTCTTCCCTGAATGTATCTAAGGATTTCCTTCAGCTTGAAGGAAACTACTGCAGTTTGTCTGAATTCATACTTAAAAATGAGCAGTTTGGCACTTCCGTGGCTTGTACCATTTCTGACCGCAACAGATCTGATTCTTAAAAGTCTTAATCTGGGTTTTCATTCTTTAAACTCAGCTGGGCTGAACTGCACCCTCTTTGGTCTCCCCTAAAACTCCCAGCCAGTACACTGGGACAAAACTCCAGTGACTGCCACACCAGCAAGTTAAGGGCTTGAGTTCTTTCTCCCTCTTACCTGCATTGTATATTTCTCTTATTAAGAGGTCTCATCTCCAGTAGCTCTTCAAGTCTTTGACACTGGCACCTTAGACCGAAAAACATACCACTGTTTTAATATAAAAGCCCAACTTGCTTTAAATGCTGCAGTCTAATCTAGAACTTTTTTCCCCCTTACCCGCATACCTGAATCTAAGAGAGCAATGGTAAAAACCCCTGCAAATGGTGAAGATACTTGTCTGAAGTTCTTCTGTTGCATATTTTAAAGGTTATCTTGGTAGCTATTGCTTGCTGAAGCCTGTTTTGAACTCAAATGACAAATGCATTAGAACTGAAAGGCAGCCTATCTACTCAGTGAGTCTTAGCAAAGAAATGTATCGTGGAGAAAGAAAAAAGCAACTTGTTTTATGCTATAGCTTACAAGTAGCATATCCACCTCTGTCCCTGGCTAGTCTCTGTGGAGAAGACTTGAGGCAGGCCAAGTCTGGTTTGACCTGTGGAATGCCACAGACCAGAAAAATTACTGAAATGTATGTTGGGAAGGTCTGCTCTAGACTAGTCAGATGAAGTTAGGAGAGTAGCGGCGCTTGCTGTTTTATGAGTTTCCTGTAGGAGTCTAACTCCAGAGAGGTTGAAAGCCTTGAACGGAGATGTGTATCTCCCTGCAATTCAGAGTAAACCATCTGTTCCTGAAGACATGCACTTCTTATTCACCTCATCTCTCAATAGTTCTTTTGAGCTACTTTAAGCAATTTCCTTGACCATTATGGCTTTCTGAATCCTATTCACAGTGCATAGCTTTTCTTGGGCACAGTGAACAATTGCATGTCTGAATAGCTGTCTTTTATCATCGGACAATCTAGTTTTCTTCAGGTTCTTCCTGGCTGCTAGTGGATACTTCTCCGAAGTCTTTTTTTCAGTGTATTAGACTGTTGGTTTTGCATCTGATCCTCTCAAGATGATGAGCAGGGCTGTGACTCAAACCCACAAGAATTGTTTTTCTGTCCAGTACTAGTAAGGTAAGACATTTTCCTGTCAGTGGTAAAACCAAGTGTTACTGTGCACTGTTCAAGTCCCACAGACTTAAATATCCTAAAAGGAAAAAGACGTTTATTTTTTTCTATTACCATGTCTCTTTTATAATACATGCCATGAAAGAGTTGAAAAAGTTTGAAATCCTCTCTTTGTGCCAATTTTCTGATTACCCTGCAGTCTTTGGAACAGCTCAAGGATTACGGATTTCCACTACAGCTGGCCAGTAAACAGTTCTATTTAGTGGAAATTCTGGCAAATTTTTCATTAAATGAAGCTGTCATTTGCCTTTGAATCCAAGTATCTTCGTAAGATCAAGCTCATATTGCATTTGAATACTTTCTAATTTCTGGTTCAGGTAGGGTAAGAGTTCTAAAAGCTTAG